GACAAAAACCAATGAAACTAAATGCACATAATTTATACAGAGGTAATATATGTTTTTCAAAAATTATATATTTTCTGTTGCTAATATTGAATAAAAGCAAATGCATATTTTGAAATGGCATAAAAGAAGTTTTTAAACCTCTATGATTCTGGTATTGGTAGTTGAGCATGTTTTATATCGTTCTTTCAAAACTTTACTTTTCCTAATCTGACAACACTGAATTAAAAGAAAATGCATACTCTGAAAGAGTTCAAGCATTTTCGACAGGAGTTAAGGCTTGGGGAAGAGGGGCACTAGTATTTCATTGTTTCAAAATTTTTGAAATAGTGCATATATCAATGGATTTGTTTGGATATTTTATGTTTTGAATTTCAAAAACTTGAATATACTTGTTTTTATTTTCAGCAAGGGATTCTCATATTGTGCAGTTATCTGCAGTTAGAAATGATGAGGTATTCAACAAGTACATCATTCCAAAAAAACCAATGACATCAAAAGCTACAGAAATAACTGGAATACAAGTAGTCAACAATAAAATGTACCACAATCATGAGGAAGTTGAGACAGTCAGCATTAAAGATGCTCTGATCCAGTTTATGGACTTCATGAAGATGTCGGGTCCAGATGTTGTTCTAGTTGGGCATAACTCTAAAGTGTTTGACCTTCCTGTGCTCTTCAACATTTTGAGTAAACTAAACATTTTGGAGACATTTTCATCTGCAGTCACTGGCTTCATTGATACAATTCCTCTTTTCAAAATGTCACATCCAAACCTTTCGTCATACTCGCAGTTACACCTCTTTGCAGAAATTCTACAAGACAAATACAGTGCGCATGACTCATTACAGGATGTCATAGCCTTGAAGAGATTGGTCGATCATACAGGACCCTCCCATGAAGTCAAAGTTGCTGCATCCTTCACCTTGAACTCTGCCGTTGCCGTGTTTCATCACAAGAACACAACAAAGCATCTAATGAGTACACTAAGGCCTTTATTGGACCAAAAGGTAATTTCGAATGGAATGGGAAATAAGATTGCCGGCAGTGGACTCTCCTTATCCCACTTACAACTTGCATATCAGAGAAATGGTAGGGAGGGAGTGCAGGATGTGCTGTCAGAGATAGCTGATAATAGTGTGCGTGTGACAAAATCTAAAAAAATCATTGATTCTGTTGCAGATTATTTCAGGTCTGAGCAGTAATGCAGTTATTTGTTTGTGAATGTATGATGTTCTTTGTATGTTATTGTTTGTTTGTTTGTTTTACGTCCCTTTGAGAATTTTTCACTCAAATTGGAACCCCACGAGTTGTTGATGTACTAGTAATACCCCCGCTCTGAGCACTGATGTGAATATACCCTCTGATGTGAATATACACAAGTTCAGCTATGGACAGACACAGGAATAAACAGGAAGTTGACACTGGATTCGTACAAAAATGAATCCCACCAAATGGCATGCCTAAACAAAGAGTGTGCTAAGATTTCAAACATCTCCGATGAGTAGTTGCTGAGAAAACTGTGACGAAAATTTGTTATGCATGGTATTGACAGACGCACAGATAAACAGGAAGTTGAAATTGGATTCGTACAAAATAAATCTTACTATATGGCATGCCTAAACAAAGTGAGTGTTAAAACTTCAAGTATCTGCTATAAGTGGTTGCTGAGAAAACTGCGACAAAAATTTGTTATGGACAGACAGACACACAAGGATAAAACAGTATATACTCCCTCTCCTTCGGAGCGGGGGTATAATTATGCAATGTACTGTTGCATATGAAACATGTTTCAATGTCTAGTGTTATTGGTAGTTTGTAGTTGAACAAAACATTTTCTTTCCATTCAAAATAAATCCAATTTAGAAACTGAATTGACAATGATTTATTGACCATACATGAGAATCTAAATTCTGTTCATTGATATTTATTGAAGAAAGCTATGTGCATAAATTGAAATATGCACAAATGAATATGAAAGGACATACTGCAAATGTATATTGTGCATGCACTATACTTGGTGGTGATTAATTTTTCAACAAGTCAAGCTAGGTTTGATTTTGGCACATTTCTGATTGTGTACCAATAAATATACACGTCATAAAGTTTGTGATGTTCTTGATATAGCGGAAGCAGCTTTCTGTCAAAGACGATAAAAAACCTTAATGTTTACAGTATACAGCAGTGCCATTAAATTTTTGTATGTTACATGTACCGGTAACAATTTGAAATACCGATAACTATCACAATGTCTGTAAACTTTTCACATTTTTGATTTCTTCTCAAGAACCACTGGACCAATTTCAACCAAACTTGCCACAAAGCATCCTTGGGGTAAGGGGATTTAAGTTTGTTCACAGGAGTGCCACGCCCTCTTTCAAGGGAAGATAATTAAGAATTTGGTAGCATCTTTAAAAAAATTTCTCAAGAACCACTGGGCAAGAGAAGATGAAACTTGTGTGAAAGCATCATTACATACTGTAGATTTAAGTTTTGTTAATCTGGGAAGTTTATATACTGTGAGACCAGCTTTGTAATATGAAAGATTAAAACCCAAAGAAGTAGAGTTTTCAGAATTTTTCCAAGAATGAAATTTAATAATCTGTATCCGGTCTTCTTGCAAATAAATATTCTGTCTTGAGAGGGCACGAAAATAATCTGACTCGATACCCCCCCCCCCCCCTCTTTCCCCCTCAATATCAAATATAGTCGTTCACTAATATATTTTAATGTCCTTTTTTTAAGAGAAAGAATGAGTTTTAATACAATCATACATTCATGCAAATGGAAAATTCATCAAAAATAACAGGCTAAATAATGTAGGAAGCAAATATAATCAATCCGAATTTCCTCTGTTCAAAATTTGAGGAAAATTCGGTCAGAGGAAATTCAAATGAAAATATCTTTTAAAGTAACTCATGTAGATATACAATATTTTACATTGTTTGAAAGCACTACAACTAAGAAATAATTAACTAGAAAAAAATTAACTTTTTAATTATTTCTAATTCATTTTCCAAGCTTATTTTACAAGCCCCCAAAAGGAAAAATAAGCGAAATTTTTGCACAGGGGTGTGTGCATTTTTTTAAAGAATTAATTTTATCTTCGGTTGATTACCATCATTATTTCATCAATATTTATTTTCCTTATGACTACTTTTAAAAGATAACAAAAAGTCAAAATGATTTGAAAATATTTTTTAGGTTAAAGGGAATATTAAATACGTTGGACGCATTTTTGGTCTTTTTCTTTACTAAAATGAGAGATTTACCTCCCTTTGGCATAAACGCCTATAGCTTGTAAACCAAATCATATACATATGCATTTTTTTGGCTTAAAATAATTAATTATGTTTATTCTTACAATTAAAAAAGAAAAATTAAATTTTTAATTATTTTTGTTGTCAGAAGCCAAACACCTTAATGTTAACGTCTTGATGGTCACACCATTGATAACTTTAATTTTATTCATGTAGGGGCCTATAATGACTGTACATCATCATATCAGCTAGGTTCAGGGAAGTGACATAATCATCTAGGGATTGTATCTATACAACAGTGTACCTATATTTTCTTTATCTGTATTTATAAATGAGTATGGTTTCTAATTCATAGTATTATTTATTATATAGCAAGTAAACATGAAGTCTTTAAAAAAAATGATAGTAATCACAAACTGTTGAATTATAATAATTAGCTTCTTACTTTGAATGGTTCATATAAGACCAATGCCGAGAAAATCTCTATTCATTAAGGACCCTCTATACACCAGTGCAAAATGTTTTTTTGGACATTGAGAAAAAATTATATTGTATATGGGTGTAAATTTTGAGCTTATCTATATAATTTTCAATATATGGTATGTGGCATTTACCCCCAGGAAAAATGTTCAAAGACAGCAAAATATCAATGAACAGAAATCAGTGTTGTTTACTTCAGTGGATAAAATATATGCAAATGAAGTGTTCAGTTAATTTATCTTGGCCTTTTAAAATGTTAAAATGCTTGAGCTGTTTACAAATTGAGAAATACACTGTAGATTTCATTTAATTGAATTTAGATCTAAGGGCAGATCACTCTAACTGCAGAAAAATTCCACATAATCAGAACTCTTTAGTGTGCAGTGTAGAGAGGGTTCTTAAAAGAAAAAAACGAGGTGAACTGCACTTACTGTGATTACAATGTAACAATTGTAATACTTATCTGAAGATCAAAAGTGTTAAAAAGAGACATTTTTTTATCATACTTTAACCCAGCATCATAAATAGCTCAACAGTACTAGTATTACAGAAGACTAGTTACTCAAAAAAAATTGACTTATTTGACCATTTTCCCTAAAATGCAGATTTATGTTGAAGTGGCTGAATCAGCTGTTGTGAATTATAAGCTGTGGTGGTCAGGCAAGTTCAATCATTGGAAGCCAGATAGCTCCGCTGCTCCGTTGGTAAAGCCTGACTAGTGATTCAGAGAACCAGGGTTTGAATCCTGGTCTGGTCTGTCACATTTTTCTCCATTCTGGTTACAAAGCTGGGAAAATAACCTATATACTCATTACTGCACCCCGGTTTTATTATCAATATTTAATTATTTTCCTGCATCTTTAAACAGGTTTGATTCAAAGTCTGCATTATCATTGGTGATAACTTTTCAATGATATGTATATTTTTTGTATATACTTTAAAATATTTTTCTAGTTTAAACATGTTTAATAGGGATTTTACAGTATAAGGCAGATCTTTTACACATTTTGGTTATTTTACAATAATGGTTTTGGAAAACACTAGTTTTATAAAAGTTTCTCTATTGTCACAATGGTTAATTTCTGCACAGGTAAATGGTGTAAAGGTTTTTTAAGCACAATGAACACAGTATGTGTACCTGACATTCCGATTTTGTTAGATTTCGTGATTTTCTTCAGTCTCATTATTCTTGTTTTTATTACACTCTCAGAACAAATCAGTTCTTGGTTAACAAATTCTCTATGTGTGTTTTATGTTTACAGACATAGGACATAGAGAAGAATAGAGCATGTCCACCACCAGTAAGCTGCTGGTGGCAGCCATTGACTTTGGTACCACTTACAGTGGGTATGCCTTTTCCTTTAAACATGAGTATGACAATGACCCTTTAAAGGTCAGCTCAAACAACTGGACAGCAGGGTCAAGGAGTCTTGTGTCTCTGAAGACCCCCACCTGTGTTTTGTTCAATAAAGACAAAGTATTTGATTCGTTTGGTTATGAAGCCGAGGATAAATATTCAGAACTCGCGGAGGAGGAGGAACATGAGGACTGGTATTTCTTCAAGAGGTTCAAGATGTCTCTCTTTAATAAAGAGGCAAGTTCATCTCCCCTAATCTATACAAAAGTGATGAAAAATCATATTATGTAAATGAAAGATAATTGAAATAGATATATGCATAAAAATTTATATTTATGCTACTGTTAGAAATTTAAGGGTTTAGAATTCTGAAATATTTATTAAGGTCATAATTTTTTTTTGTATGTAAGCTTTGATTTGGTGTTGAGTCTTTGTAATTTGGGATTTTCTGTCTTTATTATGGTTAAGATATAGAGGTTAAGATAATGTACATATTTCCTCACAGGAACAACTAACAAAGGCAGTGAAAATAAAATCTATAGACGGGAAGGAGATGGTGGCTTTGGATGTGTTTTCAGCAGCCATTAAATTCCTGAGGGGTCACCTACTACATACTCTAGAAAACAGGGCCACAGGGGTCAGAGAAACTGATATACAGTGGGTGCTAACTGTCCCTGCTATCTGGGACGATCCTGCCAAACAGTTTATGAGAGAGGCAGCTGTTAGGGTAAGCTATAAATCAACTTAAAAGTCAGCAACTTCAAATTTATAGGCTTATTTCTTTAATATTGTTTGTGAAATGTATTTTAAGAATGTTCTTACCAAAGTGTAAAAAAAAAAAATAATAATAATAATAATGATAAAAAATATATGCATTTGAGAAAAAAAAAACAAGCAAAAGCCTCCAAATAGGGATTTTAGTTTTTAAAAAAGTTAAATTGTAGATTTTTGAAAGCTACAGTTTATTTGTAAGCATCAGATAATTTGAAGTTGCAGATTTTTTATAATATTTGTATTAGGGTTGCTTTGTAGATGATGAGACTTTGATTATTTTTTTTAGGCTGGAATATCTGGGGACCAGTTACTGATAGCACTGGAGCCTGAGGCAGCCTCGTTATATTGTAAACATCTGCCTGTAGAGAGGCTTCAGTCGGAGGGGGGAGTCCAGGGATTCGGGGCCTTCTCCAAGGGAAGCAAATATCTAGTTCTTGATTGTGGAGGTATGCTTTAGTTTTATTTCTGTAAATGTCCTTTTGTAAAGCACTTTGTAATAGGCAGTCACCATCAGAAAACACCTTTACTGGCTGGTCAAGTGTTTCTAGAAAACTTCACATCACATACCATTAGCTCATGTTAGTGTCAAAGTTCAGGAATTTTTGTAGGCTTTTTGACCAATGAACTAGTGTTTTGCAAAGTCGCTGAAATTAACAAGTTCCATCCAGAATACTGTCATGACTGTAGATCACTAAATTTTCACGACACCTTATTTTTGCGTGATAATCATTAACTCTTTATTAGCGAGACAAAATTATTTTTTCATGAATAGTGGTTATTGCCCTATATAATCTTAAGGAATACTAATATACGTGAGAATGAAATTTTCGCAAGTACACTGTCTCACGTAATTTTGCAAAAAATAAATTTCTCGCGAACAAAAAGTGATTTACAGTATCTCTTGATATAATCTCAGGAATGAAAAAGTGTACATACACATACATGTAATTGTTTAGCTACATCATCAAAAAGTTACTATACTAGTATTTGATAAAGATAAATAGTATACATTGAATTTACAGTCTTATATCTATTCATTTTCTGTCAGCAGTCTCTGACGTTTGGCTTTTTTTTTTTAATTGTAAGATTTTTCAAATACTGTAATTTTTGTTTAGAAATATGGACACTGCCCTTACTGTAAAATAACTTTGCAGTGGGACAATTTTATGACTTTTCTACATCTAAATTAAAGCTTACTCATACTTCTGCGTGTACATGTACATGTATGAGTAAGCTTTAAGATTCCATGACATAAGCAATCCTAACTTTTTAATAGCTTAGTAGACCAAGGGTTAAGGATGAGAGAAGCGTTATAGAAACACACGCCTAGCTAAGATGCAGGGACAGCTCTTTTTTTTATTCATTTCTCTAGTATTACTTAGATAAAAGCATGAATTCATACCAAAAAATGCTTTAACTGTTATATTGATTTTTTGAATTATATAAAAAATAATTCAGCAATAATTTGATAACTTTTAACTTCTTATGAATTTTAACCTCATGGGGAATGATTATAAATTTTAAAGCCTCTTTTTTTTTATTGTATTGATCAATATTTTTGTTAAGTGAAAATGAGCAATCAATGATTTTTTTTTCAAATGTGAATGAGATACATATTGAGGAATAAATCATTTCTGTATTTTAAAGGAGGAACAGTAGATATCACAGTTCATGAAGTACAACCTGATCTTAACCTCAAAGAGCTGTACAAAGCCAGTGGAGGGGCATGGGGAGGCACTCAAGTGGACGAGGCCTACAAACAGATGCTGATCAAAATTGTAGGAGCCCCTATCATTACCGAGTTTTCCCGCACACATACAGCTGATTATGTGGACATGTATAGAGAATTTGAAACCAAGAAGCGTGCCATTACTGGTGACACAAAGGGCAAAGTCACCATCAAAATTCCGATTTCTCTGGTGGAGACTTTTGAAGAGGACACAGGGGAGGATATCAAAGAGACAATAGAGAATACTAAATTTTCAGGCAAAATTACATGGGTAGGAGACAAATGTCGAATCACAGCAGAAGTGATCAAGAGCTTGTTTGAAGTTGCAGGGGATCAAATTGTTGATCATGTTAAAGACCTATTAAAGAAACCGGAGATCTCAGGAACCAACAATATCATAATGGTGGGAGGGTTTTCTGAGTCACCAATCTTACAACACATGATCAAGCAATCTTTTCCAGATATGAGAGTAATTATTCCCCCTGAAGCTGGACTTGCAGTCCTAAAGGGGGCAGTTTTGTTTGGACACAAACCTGCCACCATCTCTTCTCGTATTGCCAAATATACATATGGTGTTGCTACTACAGTCAACTTTAATCCATGTATTCATCCACCTGAAAAGAAAAAGAAATATGGAAACCTCATTAAATGCATTGACATATTTTCCAAGCATGTAGAAAAAGGTCAGACATTGAAGTTTGGAGAAGCTCAAAGCGATAATACCTATACGCCAGTGGAGGACGATCAAACATCCATGTGTTTCCAAATTTACACGTGCACTGATTTAAATCCAGGCTATGTCACCGATCCAGGATGCAAAAAACTAGGTGAGATGGAGGTGAAAATGCCAGATACATCAGGTGGACGCAACCGGAGTGTCACCTGTGAAATGATTTTTGGTGGCACAGAACTGGAAGTGAAAGCAACAATTCAAAAAACTGGCCAAGTTACTCAAGCCAAATTCAATTTCCTTGACTGATCCTCTGAAAAATCTTTTTTTCACATAGTGTTCCCATTTTCTGCCAGTCATGTTATGTTTTCTATTTCAATGTATTACAAGTAAGGAAGTTATGACACAAATCTTTTCAAACCGTTTTGCACCTTTACAAAGTCATCTGAATCATCTTTCTTTTAATGACTTGGAGCTGTTATCCTCATTGTGAGAATGTGAGACTGAAATCACCATTAACAAATGCTCAGTACCTATCATATAATTGTGTTGAAAATGGTTTTCTGATCTTATGAAAGAAATGTCTTTCTGTGATACTTTTAGCATGATATCAATTAAAACATTTGCAAAACTCTATAATTGTACATGTAGCTATTCAATAATCAGGGTGAGCAAACATGCATATTTGATAATCGTGTAAAAAAAAAATATTTATCTGAAATGTCTTGTAAAACCAAAAAATCCTTTCAAGCAACAATTATATGCACATAATTTTATTCTGATTACACAACCTAAAAAGACAGCAATGTGAAATAATTGTGAAGGACAACTTGTCTTCATGCATTCTCCAACCCTTTAAGCTACATGGAGATACCGTAAGCTAATGTTAGATTTTCATAGCAATACTGTTTCCCTTAATTGAATATTCTTGTCTTGTGTTTTGAACTTTGTAATCGACACAATTCTATTCAAGAAGTAATAGCCTTTATCAAAAAAGTGTATTCACTTGATCATAATTTCAAGAAGGCTGCAATGGCTTCTACATTGAGATATTTTCCCGTTTTGTATACAAAATTGCTGCATAATAGTCATTAAACTTTGTATTATACCCCTCTCGTGCCCATTTTACATTGAAAAAAAAAGAACAGCCGATGTGACTGCCTTAGTGTGCCTTAGTTTGCGAATATGACTTCAAATAGTGCTCGACATCAACATACTATTTTTTTTTTAGAGAAGTGGACAGGCTTTCGCCTACGTTGGATGTAGGCGAAAATCTGTCCACTTCTCTATAGAGAATAAACAAACTAGAGCCAAGGGTTGTTTAGTTCCTGAATTTACAGCATGTATTTATGGACCTACACAACATATATGTACATGTACTCTACTATGTACGTGTAGATTTCCCACTGATAGTTTTCCAAGGTATTCTTAGTTTAAAATCATATTAATTATCATCAGATGTTCTTATACGAAAAATTAGCATACGTTACCAGGAGTTTAGAACAAATATCTAAAGATGAAAACCTTGTTTTGTTTTTATATGAAAAAAATTTACATGTACTAGTAGATTTAGCTGGTATTTCCTATAATTTTTTTCAGAGGTGTATAGCATTATTAGGCATTATAAAATAGCACAACGATCCTTCAATTATTGGAATTCATAGGAATTAATAAGAAATTAGAGTTCAAAACTACGTAGCGTATGCTCTTTAAGAATTTATAGGAACAAATTTAAGTGCATTTGCATAATGGCAGGTGCTTTTAATTAGTTATGTGGAAGTGATATTCACAATGTATTGCGTTCACGCATATCAAACTTCCTGCATAAAAGCGTCTCCTTCAACTAACAAATGAAGGTATATATATATATATATATATATATATATATATATATATATATATATATATATATATATATATATATATATCCAAAGTCTCTTCTTTGTAATAGAATAAAAACACTTTTTGAAATATTTTCAACCGTGTTACCGGTACATCAAAAAGTGTTTTAAAGTGTTTATATATATATAATATGATTGAATAATTCCCATCTCTCTGATTGATTGAGATCCAACAGTGTTAGAAAAAATCGACATGCTTTTCTGTGAAGTCGATATATCTTGGGATCGACCTGATCATGAAAGGTTATATTTGTATAATATATAGGGAGAAAGAGAATAAATACGTACCCTTTTCCTTATCACACCCTGTATCAGCCCGAGACTCAAATATCAGCAAGAGCACCTTCGGGCTTTTGACTGTGGTCGAAAGTTGATACACTACAGGGCGTGATGTGGAAACGGGTAAATGTGTAATTAGATTCATTACAACCTTTGTAATAAAACACAGAACGCATCTATTTGTATAAATACGATTTAACAATCACCAACTAGATTATATTATATCAAATGAAAGTAATTTAAAATCAATGAGTATGTGAAAGAAAACATGGGTGGGTATCAATAAGGGTTTTTTTCACTTCAATGTTTAATTCGCAAAGGGATTTTATATGCATGCATATCAGCTTTGCAGATCTATATCAGCCCTGCAGAATAATTCATCCCGGGAAGCTGATACAGCTATTCTCCAAGTACAAGCTGTATTTGCATGTGTAAAGACCCTGTATTTAATAATTAAAAATTGTGAAACGTGCACCTGTCCTTTGGTTTACATCTAGAGTTTTCTTTAGAATGGGGAAACTTAATTAGCACTTCAATCAACAGTAAAAATGATTATGTCCAGAATTATTAAAAAAAAAGAAAGTGGAGAGGTAGGGACAAGTACTTTGTTTCGGTATAAACAACACAAATAGAACATGTACTGTACATCTTTTACTTGCAATCAATACGTACTATATATCAATACATCTAGTAACAGTGTTGTAAAAATTCATTTTTATCCGACTAATGTATCTCAAATATTGTCTCTGGTCTATTAATTAATGCGTGAACTTCATTTTTGCAGTTACGATAGGGACTCATTAATGCGTAGGCATAAAGTTACACACTATATAGGTGTAAAGCATTGATAAATATATGTTAGAAATAGAATTAAATAAAAACTTGATCAGGTATTGGAAATGACCAATAATACACTGATTTCTGAATAATATCATCTAACCATTATAAGAATTTCTCATCAGCGGTCTGTTAGCGTTTTTGCATGTACATGTAACAATATTAAGCGTACTCCTAGCTGCAGAATTGTAGTGTTATGGTTTTATATTTTAGACTTTGACCATAACGTCTAAAATATAAAATCATAAAGCTACAGTTCTAAAGCTAGCGTACTCCCTAAGTACACAGTAAGTACAATCTGATTGGTCAAGAAAAATATACACATAATTTCCACTAATTTCTGATTATGCGCGTTTTTTTTTTAATTATCTCTTGTATTGATATGATCACAGATGATTTGTTTCTTCGACTTCTATGGCAGAATTATCGAATGCTTTCTCTGCCGGGTCACCTTTCTCTACCCCCTCCTTCTGGGTTCTTTTTTCGCGCGAACTATACCGACATTGCCATATTACACAGGACGCTGAGAAAACCACAAATAGACAGGCGGCGGCGATACCTCCAATAATGGCGTTCTCTTTGTACTTCTCCTCAAGTTTACTGAAGTCTGCCCCGTCCAAGTTCAGTCCTCGACGTACGATCTCAATACTGCTATTGCTATAAACGACAACACAAATGTACATCCCAAAATCATCATCATTTACCCTGTTTATTGTCAGATTAAAATTGGTGAAAATTTCGGATACAGTCCATCGGTACACATTGCTCGCCACCATGTCCGATGTTGAGGTATTGTCAACTAGACTTCCGGTGGGGAGGATCCAGTACTTACTGACCACCCCCGTCTGCTTGCTAGGGTTCATTGTAAAGTTTAGGTCTTTGTTATCACATGGTAATGTCGCTGATGAAAAGTACTCCACTTTAATGTTTTGACTATACCCTGTATGAACAGTGAAACCAAAAACAACCAAACAGGCGAACCAGCGTACCTGAAAAATAACCAAATAAACACACTTAAAATATTGTCGTTGAATATATGAGAAAAATATTGCAAAAGTTAGACTGTGCACTTACAGATTTTGATGACATTGCGGCCATCTTGGCAAAGCCCTCATTCAGCACACGCCCATGAAAGACCTGATATATTTTTTTCAGCTCGCTTGAACCAGAGTAAAGTCAAAATGTCTTTGGATACGGCGATCTAAGTAAACATTTCTGTTCTACATATACCCGTGTTTAACTGATAACGCTCAGTTTGATTAAGATAGATGTGAATTTACCTGGCCAAATATTTCTCCTATCTAAGACTACATACATCGACATACTCGATACAATGCATATCGTTATTTATAATGAGAAAGATAAATTTGCCTTAAACGAATCAACGGACAGCCTGAGGCATGAACAATTCAAAACAAAACAGCATAAACGTTTCAAGGTGCATGCGACAGTTAAGTCTTGATTTATTTAACAAAAAAAAAATGTGCATAGCTAGGTCAACATCAGTGTTTCGTGGAAACCTGGCTGACCTATCTGTGAACTGTTTATTTACAAAATTCTGTAAATTTGACAACGAGCTCATCTCAGGACTCTGTTCTAGTGGCCACTTGACATAAAAAGCCGTTTCTGGATGAAGGTGGGACACTGATCCCTTGGAATTCCTGGTCTCTGGCAATGATAACCCGATTGTTAGGATCCATTTCTTCTGCCTCTTCTGTAACAAACAGAAAATCCGCCATCGTGTCGTCATCAGTGACCAAGTGGGTTCCATTTGTGGTGCTTCGTATCCAGAACAGACTCATTGGATGCTCAGCTGCAATTTATATATATATATATATATATATATATATATATATATATATATATATATATATATATATATATATATATATATATATATATATATATATATATATATATTTGTATGGGTGGGTGGGTGGGTGGGTGTGTTTGTTTGTGTGTGAACAACTTTGTATAACTTATCTATACATAGCTATAGAAATTTTTAACTCAAGATGTTTTTTAAACTAATTTAGCAAATTTTCAAACAAATTAATTGCAAACCAAAGCTGCAAACAAAAGATATAATGTATTTTGCAATTCTTTTAAAAAGATTTTCTGTTCATGATTGATAATTTACTTTGTCGTACTTATAAGCTTTCCCTTTTGAAAGATTAAAAACATTACTACCTATGCTTTTTGACTTATATTAAATACTGCTAAATAATGCATACAAATCTTTTTCTGGGTAATATTTTAAAACAAGCAATATTTAAAAAAAACACACTACAATGAGCAAAATAGAGTGTCTCAAACACAATTTTTATGCATTGTTACTACGCAAAATGTAATGTAATAACAGTGCAAAATATAATAAACTGGGATTTCTAAATTTTGGAATCAACGCAAAATGTAAAACCAGACTTTTAAGGATTACTATTTTTTGCGTCAAATTAACGCAAAGTGTAATAACACAAAATGTAATAACACAGATTATTACAATTTGCGACCGGATTGACACAGAATGTAATAAATCATTTTTTGATTATTACATTTTGCGTTGAGGACAACGCAATATAAAGGTAATGTAATGAAACAAAATGTAATAACACAAAATATAATTCTTTTGAAGTGGATGAATCGGTTAGGAATATGAAATACATTTAAGGTCCTTTATATTATTTCCCTTTGTTTATGCACAGGTTAGACAAAACACTCGAAAATGAGATAAAATGTCTTGACAATAATGCGAAACTCGAATTCATGTCGAATCATGAACTTCAAATTGCATAATTCAGTATGAAAAAAGTTTCCAACGCTCGAGAGCACAAGGTAACAATGGCTGCGACAGTTGGGGCCAGCTGCGTGATTCTGAAGCTTAACGAACTTGTACAGCAATGTAGTTTGTTACATAGGCTCAGTATTGTCCAAATTTACCTTGTTATAGTTCGATCAAACCATATTAATAGGATAAAAATGATAGTTTATGAAATTTTAAATTGATTTTTGAATGTATATTTTACGGAAGCCGGTAGGTGGCAGGTAGAAAAATATTTTATCTGGCGGCCGCCAGATAAGTTATTTGGCGGCCCAGAAAGTTATCTGGCGGCCGCCAGATAAAATATTTTTTCTACCTGGCACCAACCGGCTTCCGTCATATTTTGTTAGTGTTGTAGCTCTTTTGTTGTTGAAGCGTTTCTTATGAAGGAAATTTGATTGCTTTGTTAATTACGTCCCTAGCATATAAAACGTCCCTAGCATATAAAAGATGCATATTGGCGCACAGAGATAACTTGGGCGCACATGAGGTGTCGGACTTCCTTTTCAGTTAAACAATTTTTATATATTTTTTACATTCTGCGTTGATCTCGACGCAAAATGTAATAACGCGGAATGTAATAATCTCGGTTTATTACATTCTGCGTTGTTATTACCTTTGTAACAATGCATTTTCTACACTAATGCGACATGGAAATAATCTTGATTTAAACTCGATTTAAAACATTTAAACATGCCAAAAGCTAAAAAGGAAAGAGCTGTGGAAGACACTCCAGAGGAAATGAAATTCCATTCCAAAAACTTTCTGTGAAGACTTAATTCATAGCAAGCCTAGTAACTATGGCATGTCAAACGTTTCAATATTCGATCTTTTCCATTTGTATTGTATATTTTTCATTTGAATTATGTAATTTTCCATATGAATTGTAAAATTTTCCATTTGTATTCTATAATTTTTCATTTGTATTGTAAATTTTTTATTTGTGTTCAATAATTCTTCATTTGTAATGTATATTTTAGCTCTACTGGTCAGTGACCAAAATTATGCGATAGTAAGGTGTCCGTCTGTCTGTCTTTCTGTCCGCCTGTAATCAATTTTTCAAAACGCTACTCCTCCTACAGTTTTAGTCTGATTTCAATACAACTTAGCACACAAGTAGACTACACTACGATACATAATTCTGTGTATCGGTTTTTGATTTCGATGAACGGTGTTGCCATGGTTACTAAATATAGAAATTTCCTTGAAATACTTTAAAAACACTACTCCTTCTACAGTTTTGATCTGATTTTATTTTAACTTGGCACACAAGTAGACTAGACTATGATACATAATTCTGTGTATCGATTTTTCATTTCAATGAACGGTGTTGCCATGTTACTCCTCCTACAGTTTTGATCTGATTTCAGTATAACTTGGAACACGAGTAGACTACACTAAGATGCAAAATTGTCTATATTGTTTTTTGATTTTGTTGGATGATGTTGTCATGGTTACTTAAATTGAAATTTCTGTAAAATTCTTTTAAATGGCTACTCCTCCTACAGATTCAGTATGATTGCAATACATCTTAATAATACAAAAATCTCAATAAAACAAAAAGAGACTATACCAAGGATCATTATTCTATGTATTGCTGTTGCAAAGTTTCAAGTCCAAGTGCTACTTTTAAGTACAGACCAGTAGAGCTACAGTCTCGTCAGAGACTTCTGGTTTTAATTTGTATTGTATAATTTTTTTTGTATAGTTTTTATTTGTATTTTATAATTTTTAATTTGTATTGTATAATTTTCCATTTGTATTGCATAATTTGCAATTTATATTGTATAATTCCCATTTGTATTGAATGCTTTTCCATGTGTATTGACCGTTCACGGTAGCTCAGTCGGTAGAGCGCTCGCTCCGTGATCGGGAGGTCGTGAGTTCGAATCTCGACCGCGACTGACCTAAGTCGATAAAAAATCGGTAGCAACTGTTCCTTCGCCATGCGCTCGGAATTTTGAAGTGAAAATTGCGGGTCCTTTGGATGAGACCTTAAAAACCGAGGCCCCGTGTCACGGCAGGCGTTGGCACGATAAAGATCCCTCACTGCTCAATGGCCGTAAGTGCCGAGTAAAGGTCAAAATTTGAAGCCCTTCATCGGTATATGGTGACGTCTCTATATGAGTGAAAAATTCTCGAATGGGACGTAAAAAAGCATACAATTAATCAATCAATCCATTTGTATTGTAACATACTACAATACAAATGAAAATTTATAGAATACAATTGGAAAATTATAGAATACAAATAAAAATTATACAATACAAATGAACATTTCTACAATACAAATGAAAAATTATAGAATACAAATAAAACTTTTACAATACAAATGAAAAATTATACAATACAAATGAGAAATTATAGAATACAAATGGAAAATAATAGAATCCAAATAAACATTATACAATACAAATAGAAAATTATATAATGCAAATGAAAAATTATAGAATACTAATGGAAAATTTTACAATACAAATGGAAAATATACAAAACAAATGGAAAAGATCGAATATTGCAACGTTTGACATGCCATAAGTAACATATAGACTTTTTACAAATGGGAGAGCAACTAAATACTAGAAAAACCAATCATGAATGTGAAAACTATTCTAAAATAACAAAATTCACCATATCTTTAGTTTGTACCATTGTTTAGTAAGAATGTAATCGTATTTTTCAAATTTTGCATTTAATTAGTTAACAAACGCATATGTTAGGTTTTTTTTTAGCTGTTTAAATGGGACCTTCTGATAGAGCAGATATAAGCACCTAACGCTAATCGGACCTTTTTTGTACATTACGCTCGCTCAAATTATCAGGATTGATTGCTGGAGAGAAGCGGACCGTATTCTAGTAATTAAGATAAATAAGTTTTCTTTGTAATACCCTACCTAGTTCTTCTTTGAGGTACAGCCAGATTTGATAGGAGGATATTCTAAGCAGTTGACCACGGTCATTCAGACAAGTATGCGCAGCCTCTGTATAGTTTAACTTTTCAGAATATGGTTTCCAGCAAAGACCCAGGGCTTTCTCATAGATGTATGCATCCTCTGAGCAGTCTGCTATATATAAGTATGCAATTATATTATAATACCAATTGTAAAAAATATAAATATGAGAAATGAAAATGAAAAAAAAAAAATGTCACCAAACAACTTTCATGGTAAAAAGTACATAGATATAAAGATATTTTTATAATTTACCTTTCATAGCTGAGAAGTATCGGGTTCCTTTCTGAGGGACGTCAGAACTGGAGATAATATTGCTGTAGAGCCTGCAGTGTCCCTCCATTTTGTTATATTGGAAAGAGAGACAAATCTGGATTCTGAGACAATTAAGTAAACAAGAGGACACTGAGTGGACATTACTGTGTACTCCAATAACATCCCTGAATATCCCTGTGTTCCTCAGAGTCTCAACTTCTCTGGCATATAACCTTCTGTAGTATGTTCCAACTCCGGTTACTGTCAAAAAAATTGTAAACAGAGATAAAATAACACACTGCCTGATAAACAGTCTCTTACAGCTGTTCCTCGCCATTACTTGTACAGGTCATCTCTCAGAAAATCTTTAATCGACTTACATAGGGTTACACAATAAAGAGGAAGTTCTTTCCGCTAGTCCTATTTGTATCAGCAGTAAAGGAGTCAGGCGATGCTCATTTGTAAGGATTGTCATTTGGCTACTAAATGTAATAAATTGCTAACTTTATTCAAATCACCAAATGTATCTACATTCTTATAAATAGATTTTTAATCTTCTAAATTACTTTAGAGCTGCACAAATTGGAGTAATCTTCCAGACACTTGGAATATACGTGGCTTCTCTACAAAACACTTTTAAAAACTTCCTTAGTTTTATGCAATGTATTTTTTGATTAATCGTTTGCATTAAAACGAATACTTCCTGTATAGTAATTTTGTCTTTGAATGTCATATGAAATTTAGCAAATTGGGAAATTTACAAGTGCACTATCCAGTGATAGTCCCTTTATGGCATGTCAACGTTGCAATATTCGATCTTTTCCATTTGTATTCTATAATTTTTCATTTGCATTGTATAATTTTTCACTTGTATAGTAAATTTTTTATTTGTATTCTATAATGTTTCATTTGTACATGTATTGTTTAATTTTTCATTTGTATTGTATAATTTGATTTTGTTTTCTATAATTTTCCATTTGTAATGTATAATTTTTCATTTATATTCTATAATTTTTATTTGTATTCTATATTTTTCCATTTGATTTGGATAATATTCTATTTTTCTATATTCTTTATTCTATAAATTTCCAATGGAAAAGTATACAATACAAATGGAAAATTGTAGAATACAAATATAAAATTATACAATACAAATGGAAAATTATAGAATACAAATAAAAAAATAAACAATACAAATGGAAAATTATACAATACAAATGGATAATTATAGAATACAAATAAAAATTATACAATACAAATAAAAAATTATACAAAACAAATAAAAAATCATACAAAACAAATGTAGAATTACACAAAACAAATGAAAAATTACACAAAACAAATGTAGAATTACACAAAACAAATGTAAAATTTACAATACTGAAAAAAAATATAGAATACAAATGAAAATTTTACAATGCAAATGAAAAATTATAGAATACAAATGTAAAATTTTACAATACAAATGGAAAATTATACAATACAAATGTAAAGTTATACAATACAAATGGAAAAGATCGAATATTGCAACGTTTGACATGCCATAGCCCCTGTGGTGTCATACTGTAAATAAAACTAAATATGTTAAATATCACGGGTAATGCAGTAGCGAATCCAGAAATTCAAAAGAGAAGTGGGGCAGTAAGAAAACAAATTCTGGGAAGAAAGGCTCGGTTCCTCTGAATCCATTTTAATCCGCCTATATAGTGCCTCAAATAAATCTTTCTGTATCTTTAATATGTAATGAATAAGTTAAATATTATTAACATTTTCTTCTGGTTTGATCATTTGATAAAAAAAATTATCATAATGAATGGTCAGATGTAAGAATTGTTTTCCTTTAAGTGAAATAAATGATTAAAACTGCATTTCCCTGATTTATTTTTAAAACATAATTAAAACTTTAGATGTACATTTTTTTTAACACATGAAAACATTTATTTCCTTGATTAATCACAGCACAAATGATATAGATATAATTTCAAGGAAATTGACAACTGATATTTCAACATCCTCTCCCCATATTTCCAATCAACCAATATTACATTTCTATGAAAATACATACACATGACTGTAGATACATCAGTTACATGTATATTTTGAAGATGACAAAGCAAAACACATGTAGATCAGAATACATGTATATTATCTTCCACATGTAAAGACATAACAAACATTGGGATATTTAAAAGGATTAAGAATCTTGTTGGAATTACATACGTGTAAGTCGTACATGTTCTATGTAAGTGCAGTAATGAAATGGGTCATGACCCAACATTCAGGTGTCAAATGTTGCCTCATAACGCGTGACGTCATTTTTCGACCTCTTTTCATTATAAATTAATATACATGTACAATGAGAATTTTTTTTTATTTCGGGAAAATATTACATGTATATCATTTAACATTAAACATCTAAAAGTATAAATGATCATTTTACAATACCATAAATTGCAAATAATACAAACTTTAAATTACATACCTTAAACATTTACTTTATTAATTATATCCCATATTTGCAGCTTTAAGCACTCTTTTTGAAAGGCTTCATTTGACATGTACATATGTACAAGTAATATATAACCTGTTGTTAAATTATTTTACTTCCCATTAAATTATGCCATAACAAAGATTTGCAAATGCATATGTATTTTATGGAAATAGAAGATTATACTACCTATAAGATTATTAAAGAGGCTCTCAGCTACTGCTAATTTAATGTAGCCTGCATGCCTCCACCAATGTTGGTGTGTGCGCGGGTGTCGGGGGGGGGGGTACAAACTCTTTCCTAACTCTTTTCACTTGAGACATTTGTAATAATCTGGATACTACCCATTCTTCTCCTTATTGATATTTAATTTTTTGAATATAGATCAATTTTTGTTTTTCAACTTGTTTAATTGTTATTTCTAGGCGAATGTCTTATGCCACAGAAGTAAATAACAACTCTTGAAATTTCCTTGGTGTGGTCATTCCTTTATGACTGATTTCTCTTCTTAATTTATCCCATATGACTGATGTCTCTTCAAACTTTATCCTATATTCTTTCTTATATTCGTTATGACTCAAGTCTCTTCTTACTCGACCCTTTATGACTGATTTTTCTGGACCTTTGAGCTTGAATACTGTTCGTTATCTCCATATATTTCATTCTTACTTATATCCTTTATGACTGATGTCTCTTATTACTTATAACCTATATGACCCATGCCTCTTTTTTACTTTCTCCTTTATGACTGATTTTTCTTCTTACTTATATCCTCTATGACCTATGTCTCTTTTTTATTTATCCTTTAAATTTATGACTGATGTCTCTCCTTAATTTATCTTTTATGACTGATGTCTCTTCTTAATTTATCCTTTATGACCGATTTATCTTCTTACTTATATCCTCTATGATTAATGTGCCTTTTTTCACTTGATCCTTTATGACTGATGTATCTTCTTAATTTATTCTTTATGACTGTTGTCTCTTCATACTTATATACTTTACATGCACGTAAGTAAACGTAAATTACCATAAATTGAAGAAAAATCTACAGTCTTCATTCATGTATATAAACACTGGAGTTATCTCTCCTAGATTATGATCGATCTGTAGCAGTTAATATCGTTTCACTATTGCCATTCCATACAATAAATCAAACACCAGTCATAGACAACTTTTTTTTTTTTACAATAAAATCGGATTTTGGAATTTTTTTTTATATCTTGTTATTGGTAATCTACAAAATTTTTTTGTTGAAAATCCTTCTGATTCAACTCACAAATTATACTCTGAGGTTGATATTACTGATATTTAAAAGTTGCTTCTAGGTCCTCGTTGACAATTATCTGTGTAGTCTTTAGAGACCTGCAGGTCTTCCGACAATCAGTTGGAAAGCTCATGGCCATGGGTAGTAATTGTGCCAATAGCTGATCTGTTTTTATATTCTTATGAAGAAAAATTCATGTTAAAATCGTTTTCATATTAAGTAAGAGGTCTCTTGCTATGATATTCAATTCAACATTTATACTTATGTACGACGTTTTATCAATTAACAATATTCATTTTCAATCATACTTGATTAGATATATTCGACTGAAGTCAAAACAAAAGACATCGAAGAGTCTTACGCATCTATTTCATATTTTGATGTTTAACTAGAGAAAAACAAAGTAACAACTAAACTTTATGAAAAGCGTGACGACTTCAACTTTTTTGTCGTCAACTTCCCATCCTCATGTTACAATGTACCACTATTACCTGTATACGGTGTTTGTGTCTCCCAGTTAAATCCATACTCAAGAACTTGTTCTATGTACGTGAAATTTTTTAACCTGAGGTAGGCTACTGTCAAATAAGTTGATGGTATAAGGGTATCAAAAATCTCGTTTAAAGTCAACAAATTCTTTGATGAAATATTAAGATAACGAACAGTAATCAAGCTGAAAACTCCATTTAAACAATACAAAGCGGGAGCAGAGCAAACACGGACCTCTAAAAGCATCAGAGGTGGGATTAGGTGCCAAGGAGGAGTGAGCAGCCCCTGTCGACCGGTCACACCCGCTTTGTGCTCCTTGTCATGATTAGGCAAACGGAAAAGTCCTAAACAATTCAGTTTGTAAATAATGGCCTAACAATTAGTATAAAAAAAATACCAGTCAGCATTCGACTTAATAAAAAATTGTATTTGCTGACAAGGTCATTGTATCGACCATAGAACTTGCAAAATGTTGACTTCAAACGAGACTGTTGATATCATTGTTTCATCAACAAGTTTTTCAATAGCTTGCCTCTTGTTTTAGAAATTGTTCTTACGTAGGCATGCTCTTGCGTATCGAATCAACTGGGAGAGCAGGTGATAAGGGCATATTGCTTCATAAATAAAGGAAGTTGACGATAGAAAAGTTGAAGTTATCACGATTATCATAAAGTTTTGTTGTTAGGTTACCATTAACGTCTTTTTTCTAGTAAAATATCCAAATATGAAACAGATGTGCCAGACTCCGTGGTATCTTTTACTTGAAGTTCACTGGGATGTATCGAGTCGACATAAGAATGGATGTAACTATAATTAATTGATAACACGTCGTCGAAAAATCTAAATGTCGAGATAAAGTGTTTTCTTCTTCTCATCTAAAAGTTTTTGAATAAATTCTGCTTCATATGATCAATAGAATGATATTGTTTGTAAATACAAACTGCTGATTGGTCGAATGTTGACTTTTTGATACAATTGTTAAGCCATTATTTTCATACTGAGTTGTCTATTGATTACTCCATACGATCAAGACAAGGGTTCACAGCGGATGGGGCTGGTTGACTCGGAAAGTATTCGGTGATTAGTTCAGGGC